ATGCCTGCAGTGAGAGGGGAGGAAGAGGGAATGTTTGTAGCACGATAATTTCAGCTATCACAGATGGTCATGCTCCAGAGCAATTGCATCTAAAGGAAAATGAGAAGCCAGGGCCACCACCAGCTTGGGCAGACATACTGCAATTATGAAGTCACCGTGAATAGAGAAAACAAACAATGGTATCAAGTATAAGCCCCCAAATTCAAAGGCACAAATAAGAGCCACCACTGCAAATTGATTTACAATCGAGATACTTCTCACTTCGGCGGCTCTGTAGCGACTCTGTAGTGTGCTCCGGGGTGAGTAACAGCTGGGATTTATTTAGCCGTGCTAATGCGTGCCAAGGAAGCCTTCCACCAATGACTTCGATAGTGTAAGAAGTGAATGTGCAAGGAGGAAAAAATGGGAAAAAAAAGGAGAGATAGAAGAAATGAAATGCAGTTAGAGCAAGAGAATCATGGGTAATATTTTTATCATTATAGTTTGGAATTTTCTTTATTGTGGTTTTTATAGTCTCTCAATTCAAATAGAAAGGATTGTTTTAAAGTTTCACATGATCGCACAGTAAATATCCAATCAGTTCTCCTGCCCACAACCAACGTGGTTATTTGAAAATGTAAATGAGATCATGACACACCCTACTGAAAACTCTTCAAAGGCTCCCTGTTGCTCTCAAGTTAAAAATTCAGCCCCCTTTCAATGGTTTCTGTCTCGACTGGCCCCAGCTGAACTCTTCCACCTCATTTCTCATCCATTCCCCTTTCCATCCTCTGAGCTCCAGACATGTTAGGCATTTTTGTGTTTAATTCAATGTCAAGGTCTCATCTCTAGGATTTTGCACATGCTGTTCCCTATTCCTGAGACACTGTTCCCCACCTTTCTTTGTCTGGCTAATTTCTACTCCTTTCCATGGGAAAACCATCACTTCTCAGACAAGGCTTCGGTGACCTATGCTTCCACTATCCTAATAGTTGCCACATTTTAACCTGTTTTCCTACCCCAAAACAAGACCACAGGGCTGACCCACTCCCCACTATACCCTCAGTCTCCTGGTACATAGGAGGCACCCCCAAAATATTCCCTAACCAAATAAGTACATGAAATTCATGGCCAAATGGCATCTAAAATTACCAACTAACGACTACTTCCTGTTTGTCTCTATAAAAATAAGATTTGGATTCATTTTTATTAAATCAATTTTAAAATTCAGAATATTTTTAAAAATCACGGTTTCTGCCATTTTTGCCAAAATTCTCTCTTTCCCCTCTCAAAAGCTGCAAGCTCTGATACCAGAGAATTTTCACTGTGAGAGAAATACTGTTGAGTCTTTCTCTGAAAACAGTATGGACTCAGAGTACCCCGGGCACTGATAGGAGGTACCCTGCTTCCAATTTGTTCTCATTCTTCAAACTCCAGCTCAAATATCACCACTTCTAGAAGTCTTCTCAGATGCCACCAACACCTCAGCCCAACACCTCTCGTGTGCCCTCATTGATAGCTGCTCACCTTCATCCTAATACTGACCTAATCTTGCAAGTAAGCATTTGTCAAGCTTAGGGGAACTTGGCATAAGTGACAGGTGATGTATATGTGACCTTGGTCAGAATCCTTTTTATGACCAATTGATGACTAGCCTTTTTTTTTATTATTTCCAAGCAATATGCTACCTTCAAATCAATACAAGCATTAAATAATGTTCCCATACTATTACCTGCCTGACTGGGGTGCTGTAAACACACAATTCCACAGGCATTAAATATGAGATTTTTTTTTTTGTACCAGTGATTAAATCCAAGAGTGCTTAACCACTGAGCCATATCCCCAGCCCTTTTTATTTTTTATTCTGAGACAGAGTCTTACTAAGCTGCTTAGGGCCTCACCAAGTTGCTGAGGCTGGCTTTGAACTTGCAAACCTCCTGCCTCAGCCTCCTAAGCCACTGGGTTTATAGCAGTGTGCCTTGGCACCCAGCGAAAAGCTTTTTAAGATAAACATAATAATAATGTTCCAGGAGTTCTACACACACTCATTATCTCATTTCCTCTCCCCTACAACAATCATCATCTTCCTGTGAGGTGGAACCTTTGCTATCATTCCCATTTTGCACACAAGGAAACTGAGGCAGAGAGAAGTTAAGTAACATCTTTGAGGTCGCACAGCTACGACGTGGCAGAGTTGGGTTGACACCAGCACAGTCCAGCTTGGAAGTCTGGGCTCCAAACGGCCCTGCTGATGCTGTGACTGACACAGCGCTTCTGCTTCTCTCGGCTCTCAATTTTAATAATAAATTCACTTGTTTTTTCAAGAAGGTGAGGGAAAGGTACAGTACCATTTTATAATCAATGGAAAATAAAACAAAATTCTGTTTGGAAGGTGATATAGACTGAGTTGTATCCCCCTGAAATTCATCTTTTGAAACCATGAACTTGAATGTGACTACATTGAGAGATGGGGCTTTCAGGAGATAATTAAGTTTAAATGAAGTCATAAGGGTGGGATCCTAATCTGGTAGGATCCGTGTCCTTATAAGAAAAGGAAGAGGCTCTCTGCTCCTCCCCGTTCGATAGGCAGCCGCCCCTCCCCGTCTCGCGCAGTGATGGTGAAGGTCGGAATGAAAGGATTTGGCCATATTGGGCTCCCGGTCACCAGGGCTGCTTTCACCTCTGCCAAAGTGGACATTGTCGCTATCAATGAACCCTTCATTGACCTCAACTACACGGTCTATATGTTCCAGTATGATTCTACCCATGGTAAATTCCATGTCACAGTGAAGGCTGAGAACGGGAAGCTTGTCATCAATGGAAAGTCCATCTCCATCTTCCAGGAGCGAGATCCCGCCAACATCAGATGGGGTGATGCTGGTGCTGAGTATGTTGTGGAGCCCACTGGTGTCTTCACTGCCATGGAGAAATCCGGGGCTCATTTGAAGGGTGGTGCCAAAAGGGTCATCGTCTCTGCCCCTTCTGCCCATGCCCCCATGTTTGTGATGGGCATGCACCATGAGAAGTATGACAACTCCCTCAAGATTGTCAGCAACGCCTCCTGTCCCACCAACTGCTCAGCCCCCTGGCCAAGGTCATCCATGACAACTTTGGCATTCTGGAAGGACTCATGATCACAGTCCACGCCATCACTGCTACTCAGAAGACTGCGAGTGGCCCCTCTGGGAAACTGTGTCGTGATGGCCGTGGGGCTGCCCAGAATATCATCCCTGCATCCACCGGTGCTGCCAAGGCTGTGGGCAAGATCATCCCTGAACTGAATGGGAAGCTCACTGGTATGGCTTTCCGTGTGTCCACTCCCAACGTTTCAGTTGTGGATCTGACCTGTCACCTGGAGAGAGCTGCCAAATACGATGACGTCCAGAAGGTGGTGAAGCAGGCATCAGAGGGCCCCCTCAAGGGCATCCTGGGCTACACGGAGGACCAGGTGGTCTCCTGCGACTTTAATAGTGATACCCACTCTTCCACTTTTGATGCTGGGGCCGGCATTGCCCTCAACAACCACTTTGTTAAGCTCCTTTCCTGGTATGACAATGAATTTGGCTACAGCAACAGGGTGGTGGACCTTATGGTCCACATGGCCTCCAAGGACTAAGAGCCCCTGCACTACCTGCCCCAGCAAGAACACAGGAAGAGAGAGGTGCTCAGCTGCTGGGGAGTCCCTGCCCCTAACTCAGTCCCTCAACACACTGAGAATCTCCCCTCCTCCCCATTTCCATCCCAGATCCCCTGAAGAAGGGGAGGGGCTTAGGGAGCCCTACTGTCACATACCATCAATAAAGTTCACTGCACCCCCCCAAAAAAGGAAGAAACAACAGAGAACTCTCTCGGTCCATGTGTGCACAAAGAAAAGGGGACATGTGAGGACACAGTAAGAACCCAGGAAGAAAACCCTCCCCGGACATTAACCCTGAGAGTCCTGACTTCCAGCCTTCAGAACCATGAGAAAATAAATGACTGTCATTAAAGCCACTCAGTCTGCTCTATCTTGCATGTCAGCCCATGCAGACCAGTACAAAAGGCAGTCACAGCTGGGTGTGGTGGCACTTGCCTGTGATCCCAGAGGCTCAGGAGGCTGAGGCAGGAGGGACCCAAGTTCAAAACCAGCCTCAGCAACTTAGCAAGACTCTGTCTCAAAATAAAAAATAAAAGGGCTTGGCATGTGGCTCGAGAGTGAAGATCTCCTGGGTTCAATCCCCAGTACCAAATTTTAAAAAAGGCAATCAAAACAAATTTCATAGTTCCAAAGACAAGCTGAAGATTAGGAAATAAGTAGTAAAGGAAAAGATGTATCAGAAACTAATTTTGGGCCGGGATGTCACTCAGTGGCCCTAGCACACACACACAAGGCCCTGTGTTGGATCCCTAGTACCACCAAAAGAAAAAAGAAAAATTAAAAATACTAGTTTGATCGAATATTACAACTCATCAGGGGGTATTCCATTTTGGAATATATGAATTTCTTGTCATCAACAAGAAATGTTTGCTGCTATCTACCATCTCTTCCCCCAAGAAGTCTGTGGTCGACTTAGACATATACTGACCAGCATGTGAGTGTGGAAATGTGCCTAAGACTGCAAGACACTATGCGCCCAAAGAGGGGTGCAAGTGCTCATTTCAACAACAGTTGGGGTGGGGGGCAGGTAATTAGGAGTCTAGGTGGTTCAGAGAGGAAGAACAGTTTGCAAATAAGCAGTCACGTGGAACAGACCCTTAGAACAAGGCGAGGTGCCACGAAGCCTAAGAGGTGAAATACAACTGGCAAATTCAACAGCCAGTAAGTGAGAGGTCTGCAGAACAGGGGAGGACACGGAATGCATGCGTAGGGGGAAGTGCAAAGGCTGCTGAGTGATTCGGGAAAACTAAAAGCCCAGGTTCTTATATAGAATTCATCCTACACAGAGCCGGACTGATGGGGGAAATGCATGCAAAGATGTGCTTGGGAAGATTATTCTGTGCCGCAGTCTGGCTGGGCACAAAATCACGAGCCACCACACACCTTGTAGATTCAAACAGCAATTCTTTATTCCCGAACTCACACTGGCACTCTACAAACACGTTCTGGGGGAATCCACGTTCTCCGCCCAATTCACGTTCTGGGCGAAATCCCAAATACTCTCTGAATCCCGGGAGAACTCAACGGGAACTCAAGGAGCAGGCACGCCTGAGGCAGCAGGATACGCCCTATTCCCAGCAGGGTACACCTTAAACCTGGAACCGCCCTAAACCCGATTGTCCTAAACCGGAACGCCCTAAACCCTATCCGCCCTAAACCCGGATCCGCCCTGGTCCTTGAGCAAGGTCACCTTACATGCAATGTCACTGCAAATGACCTGGGTCATGCCATGCGTCATTCTTACTTAGCAATGGCCCTCAGCAATTCTGGAATGTGAGTGTAGACTAGCAAGGGGAGAATCTGGAGAGGGGATGACTCACCCAGAAGCAGGACAGTAATCCAACCTTGCAAGCTAAGAACTAGACTAGTCTGGTGGCCATGAAGACCACCACTGAGAAGGCGAAAGTGACACTCCAACAAATCCCTGCTTCTAAGTGGCACTCGAACAAATCCCCGCTTCTCTGAGGAACACTGGCATGTGGCTACCCCTTCCTCCCTGCCTCCACTGTAACCAAGGGACCACTCCTCATCTATCAGAGAGCTGCACCGTTGGCTCCCTGTCTGTCTCCAGAACTGAAACCCCACCAGTTACTACCATGAGTGGTATCCTGCAGCCAACTGGTACCGGCTCCCAAGAGGCAATAGGGAGAGTCTCAAGAATTTTGCAAGTTGGTTGTTAAAGCCAGCCATTATTAAAAATTAAATTAAATGTACTTACAATCAGATACATTATTACAGGTATTATTATAGGTAGAGTAATAATACACAAAACTTGCCAGTCTTTAATTATTCTTATCTACTTTTATCTATGATCTTGAGGTTGTTCAGGTTTGTTGTATCCATAAGGTGATGGCATCTTCTAGGAATTCAGCAACATCTGAATTGAGTTGGTAACTTGGAATCCAAGCAGCATTTACACCAGGGAAATTGGTGAACACCACAGACCAGGGCTGGATTTATTGCCTTCAATGTCTATGTTTAGGAAGTTGAAGGAGAAAAAGTTAATAAAGCAGGGCTAAAGCTGAAAGGTTGGAGTTTGATAAATACAATAAGAATGAGAATAAGAATGACAATGATTCACACAAAGAAGTAATAACAATAAATTTAGTAGAAAAAAAATTAGTGGATTGGGATACAAGTCCTGTCATCAAACCACAGGCTGGCTATGGACAGAGGAGTTTGGCAAAAACAATGAAAATATTCAGAATCAACTGGCTTTATGAAATTTATAATAAATAATATTGATATTTTATTATTATTTTAAATCATGCACTATATATCCTTCTCATTGGTAAAATTTATAATTAACTTATATACTCATATTTTTGAATATCCCTCCATCCCCCAAAACCTGTTGCTAAATATTTACCACCACATCCCTGCCTATTCTCCATGTGGATACACTGGCTTATTCTTTATTAATTGTGAAAATTTTGATACTCTTGAAGATGATTTTAGTGTCTCAAAACTACCATTTACTATGCTTTCTATTTTTTCCTAATACTTAATTCCAATTAAGTTTTCAAATTCAAAATCAACTTTTTCCCGTAAGTTTTAAGAACTGTTCGATATATCTTATTATTTTATATATGATTATAAATATTAACAAACACGTTTAAAATATGGATTACAGCAACTCAAGAGGTTGACGCAAGAGCATCCAGATCCAAAGTTCAAGGCCAGTCTACTTCAACCCCCATTACCCCCAAAAAATAAAATAAAATATGGATTAAAATTTGGTTTCAGCCAGGCTCAGTGGCACACACCTGTAATCCCAGTGGCTCGGGAGGCTGAGACAAGAGGATCTCAAGTTTAAAGCCAGCCTCAGCAACTTAGCAAGACCTCAGCAACTAAGCAATTTGGCAAGATCTTGTCTTTAAGTAAAATATAAAAAGGGCTGGGGATGTGGCTCGGTGGTACCAAAAAAAAAAAATTAGTTTCCATCACAAACTTTGGACATTCTTCCTTAAAATTTTTAAATTCCAGTCATAAAATTTAACATATCCTTTTTATTTATTTATTTATTTTAAAGAGAGAGAGAGAATCTTTTAATATTTATTTTTTAGTTTTCAGTGGATACAACATCTTTATTTTTTTATTTTTTATGTGGTGCTGAGGATCGAACCCAGCACCCCGCACATGCCAGGTGAGCGCGCTACCGCTTGAGCCACATCCCCAGCCCAACATGTCCTTTTTATATAAAGTATCTCAACTGCCTGGTATCAAACAAACCCCAGGTGCCTCAATAACACATAAATTTGATAAACATAACTTACACACATTGCAATAGGTTGAGAGAGCTCTATCTACACGCACAGCTCCCACATTGGCGGCTGCAGGGGGTCCAGACTTCCTGTGTCCTTATGGCACAATGTTAGGCTTTGCCTATGATTAACTAATTTTTTTTAAACATTTGAGTTAGTCTGGGTCGTCTAGAAAGTAGACACCAAGGTGGATTAGAGGTCCAGAGATTTAACTGGGAGAAATACCAGTAAGGGAAGATAGAGATGGAGCTGGAGAAGGTTGAGAAAAAAGTGGAGGGAAGGAAAGAAGGAAGGAAGAATGAATAGGAGGGGGAGAGAGGGGAGGGAAAGGAAACTGCAGCAAAAGTTTTGCAAGGTCGTCTGAGAGTCCTTAGGCCAAAGCTGATCCCCAGAGGCGTCCCTCCATGTCCAGAACAGGCCTGCTCAGTATCCTCCACCCACCTCTTGGGAACAGCTCATGAGAATGTGGCTTTGACCACAGGCACTGATGGACCTCAGGGTGTAGTCACTGGGATCATCAGCCGGTGATCATGTGCACTCTGCAGAAGGAGACCTAGGAGGCACATTCTCAAGGCCACCCCCACCCCTGAGCTTTGCCTTCCACTGTTATTTTTAATTATTGTTACACACAGTACCTAAGTACTCCTGATCCATTCCCACCTGAGCTGGAACTGTTCTTCTGCAGGGTAGTTGCTGTGAACAGTTTGGCACATACCCCTCCAGACCTTTTTCTATGCCCGTTGTATTTATTTTTAGATGTAGAGAGAGATAATTTATAAAAGAGGATTTTCATTTGCTTTTTATAAATAATACATATTGTTCTGTCACTTATGCTTTTTTTTTTTCCTTTTTCTTTCTTAAAATTGTTTTCAAACCCATTTCACAGCCTTAGACATCCCCTTTGGAACTTTTTAACCATATTTCTTTTGTAGTTACATGATTACGAGGCGTTTTTAAGTAAAAAATTTTTTAACTTTAATTAGGAATCATTAAAGATTATTTAAATATGTAAAGACATGTAATATATAATAAATTTGTATTTTTCCATTAGTAAGTGATATGCATAATTGACGTTAAAGTATTTTTTTTAATGGGCTGGGGGCGTAGCTCAGTGGTAGAGTGCTTGTCTAGCACATCCACAAGGCCGTGAGCTTGATCCCTAGCGTGGCAAAAACAGATGGAAACAAAAATGATTTGATGTCTAACATTTTATAGTTGATTTAGGAACAAAATGTACTAAATGTAATTAATACGTCTAATATAGATTAACGCTACCTTCAGAACTAGATGTTTGGAATTCTTTGCTTTTTGGTACTGGGGATTGAACCTAGGGGCACTTAACCATTGAGTCACATCCTCAGTCTTTTTGTATTTTTGATTTTGGGACAGGGTCTCGCTAAATTGCTGAGGCTGACTTTGAACTCTCAATCCTCCTGCCTCAGCCTCCCAAACTACTGGGATTACAGGTGTGTGTCACTGCACCCAGCTGTTTGGAATTCCTTTGCATGGAAATAGTTATCTTTATAAATTGTTTTATTTGTAAATAAGATGAAAGAGAAGGCTTCATGGGACAATTTGCAGGCTGTCTCGCATGCCCCTGTGGACAGTCTAATTCTCTGTAAATGAAGAGCTAAATTGGACATGATCACCATTCTAGTTCCCCTTCTCAAAGATCACCGGTTTTTGAGAAACTAGAGGCATCTTGATGTGGCTTTTAGAAATCAAATCAGATTAATGCAATTTACAGACGTGATGAAGAGCGTCTGGATGGAAACTGCAGTATCACCATGATTTTTGTGTTCTTCTTTACTTTCCCCTGCTCCAAACAGGGCTCCTTCAGCTTCCCTCCTTGAGTGCATTGTCCACTGTGGGCTGAACTAAGCAGTGTGTGACCGCAGGAATGATGGGGCGAATCCCTGCCGTGCGGCTCTGGGGCACCATGTCAGCAGTGAACTCCCCTGGTCGCCCCCAATCACTGGACACTCTTACAGAATTGACATCTGGAAGCTGCTGTTCTCTCTGTACCCTTTCCTTATCAACATTGTAAAAACGATATGTAAATCAGGAGTTCTTACCATCTCAAATGTTGTAACTACAAAGAACTTAGAACTTCCCAGAAAATGCACCCCCATGCCTGGGCAGCGCCTCGGCTTCCCACTGTCTGCTGCGAAGCACTCAACAGTGCAGGTGTGCCGTGATTGACACACTCAAGTCTGTGGGGTCCTTTCCAACACTAACATGGTGCTATGATGCTGAGTGGAGCCTGAAACACAAGTAGTTAAGTTGGAAGTCGGCAGACTCCAGTGCCACATCCCAATACTGATTGCATTTATCACACAATTTTCTTCTTTTAAGTAAAGACCTGGGATACTGTAAAAGGCTCTATTCCCTTAAACAAACTATTCAATGTCACCGTTGTGTCCTTCCAGATAACTATGACAGAAATAATAATCCCTTCAATAGAGGATTTGCAGACAACCTTGCAGGGGTCTGCAAGACAACAGGTTGGTGATGACTTATCTCAAAAATGGATGGACAACAAACACTTCAGGCAAATCCTCCATAAATATTGTTTCTCTCTGCAGAGCTTTCAAGAGGTATTAATGGCAGTGAGTTTCAGATTATATTTCCCGATAAGAACCTGGGAAGCCACTATTCCAGGGAGCCAGTTAAAAGCAAAACCTAATCAGACGAGATCAGGACCCCAAATGTCCATGTGTGCTAAACAGGTAAAACGGTATCAGCCACAGGGAGGGAAAACCTCTCATCATCTGTATTGTAAAAAGGGCCATTACACCTGGGCTTGGGCTACACCAACCTTCCTTCCATATCCCTTGGAAGAAAGATTTCTACTTAACATTTATGGGTTTTTCCTTTTCCATATGTGTTAGTTATTTCAAAAGAGAAAAACAAAAGAGCAATTTGTCTCTGAAGAAATGAAACACTCATTCAGGTAAGCCCACAACCAACCACTACACAAATGTCAGTGAACTGCATGATCAATTCTGTGATTAGCAGAGGAGAGCTCTGCACCCACATTGATTGTAAAATGCAAATCTGAATGCAGCTAATCTTCACATAAATATAATAGGCCTCACATTGATTTTTTTTACCCTCATGATCATATGAAAAATTAACCATCTAAAGTGATAGTAAAGAAGTAATACAACATTAGTTGATGGTATTCTGTGATAAGTAAAAGATTCATATTGTAGTGTCTAGAGCAACTCTCAGGACACACACACACACACACACACACAGGAGACAGAGCTAAAAACTCAAAAAAGATAAGATGGAAGATTTTAAAATATCTGAATTACTCGAAAGAAGACCAAAATTGAGGAAGAAAGTAACAAATAAGCTAGAATAAATACAAAATAAAGATGGTAGACTTGTGCCCAACCATATAAACACTCCAATTAAAGTGATGATAGAAATGTGGGAGAATGGTATTAGTCCACTATTTAACATCTTTTAAAAAATAGATTTTTTTGGTACCGGGAAAAATTATTGTTAATATATTTTAACACCCATTTGGTTCATGTGTGGTACTCAGTTTCACGTGTGCTACGTGGACACAGAAGGAAAAAATCACTAGGTAATTCTCAACCAAGATTCTGTCAGCAAAGATCCCTCAATAGAGAGCAACCTGGTGTATGTAATCATGCTGAGGCTGCTGCCATCAGTAGAAATGCTTGTTTATTTAACTGAAGCCTGCTACCTTCATCAGAGGACTAGGGTCACAGAATGGTGTGGACTGGACATATCAAAAAGTTTTCCGATCCCCAAAACTAACAGCTCTTGAAAGTTTGAAACAACACTGGGCGCCTCAAATAAATAAAATTTTAAAAAGAAAGATTGAGACATTAGTCACACACAGAGAGCTCAATGAATTTGACATTAGTAAGAAAGCTGATATGATGTATGGATATCTATAGCTAGAGATTTAAACAAACAAATAGTTTCTGGATCTCATGATCAGAACAATATATCAACATTTTTATAGCAAAGCAGGCTGAATTCCTATGAGTAAATCATTCCCACACGGCAGGAGTCTTACATCCTTAATAACAAAAGAGTTTAATTAGAAAGCCCATGAGTTACGATCAGCTCTCCCAGCCTCCACCACCAGGTACCCCAGCTGCATACACAAGTGATGCTCATGTCTCCCTCTCCTTTCCAAGGCACAGGAGTGTCAGGACTGACCGAAGGCTGAGTTCCTCATCGATGAGCACTCCTCAAAGACAGAGCCCTCTGTTACTGTTAACAGGTAACCTAACCCTGATGTGTAAGAGATCCTTTATTAATCAGGAATATTAAAACAGATCCTTCTGAAGGAAATAGATCGATTGTGACATTGGATCATGTGAGCCACTCTGCCATCAACTGGTACCACACTTGGTGAAGAAACAGGATCTGAGAATTCGATTCCAGCACCAGGACACCACCTGGTTTCACACCATCTCAACCAACTCTCAGAGCCAAACCAGCACTGTCTCTCTTGGATTCTTGCCATGACCTCCTGACAGGTTTCTCTGTTATCACCCAGAATCTTACACCACATTCTTAGCACAGTGCTGGAAGAGGCTTTGCAATTGTTGGGGCGCACCATGACACCTCTCTGCACTTTGCTCAGTCTCTCAGAAGCCTGTAGGTTCCCAGGTGGGATTTCCCCCTTCCCCACACCTGTGCTGACCTCACACACTGCGCTCCAGCCTCACCAACCTCCTTGTGCGTTTGTGAACACGAGACACAATGCAGATGGCTCTGCCCTTGTGACTTCAAGTTTCTATTTAAATGTCCCATTTAACAGACTATTTTACCTTTTTTTTTTTTTCCCATACTGGGGATCAAACCCAGAGCCCTCCTCATGCTAGGCAAGTGCTCTACCCTTGAGTGACATCACCAGCCCTTAACTACCTTTTCAAAATTGCAAAGCAGGCCTTCACCCAAGAACCCTCAGACACTCTTCCTTGGATCTACAGTTTACCCATGTGGCAGTTAGCTTTTATTCCAGTACTGGGGGTTGAACCCAGGGACTGCTCTACTACTGAGCTCCATTCTGCCCTTTTTATTTATTCATTTATTTTATTTTGAGCACTCTCTTGCTAAGATGCCCAGGCTAGCCTTGAACTTGTGATCCTGAGTTCCCAGGATTACAGGCATATACTATGGCACCCAGCTAGTTACCATCTTCTGATGGACAAGAATATCTACTATGTTACATAATTTTACTTAAACATCACTTATTTTATTTATTTATTTATTTGTTGGGTTCCTAGTGTCTTCTCACCAGATTGTTAAGACCCACAAGAACAAAGACTTTCATTTATTTTATTTCCAGTGTCTAAAATATGATCGTATTCAATAAGTATGTCGTGAATAAATGAAAAGTGGGTGTTTTCAAAAGGGGTCACGGAAAAACAACCCTAAGTGCTGTGATAACAAGTCTGGGGCCAGGCCCAGCGGTGCATGTTTGATGGACAGCAAGATGCTTAGATGGTAGGTGCTTTTCCACTACCAGTGATACTTTTGCTTGCTAGTGTTAGAGGTGAAAATCATATTCATTCTGTACATGGAGTTATTCTGTCAGGTCATTAAAAAATTCTACTTTTGAGCTGGTGTGGTGGTTGGTGCACACCTGTAATCCCAGCTACTCAGGAGGCTAAAGCAGGAGGTTGGCAAGTGTGAGGCTAGCCTCAGCAACTTAGTGAGACCCTGTCTTAAAACACAAAATAATAACTGGGGATGTGGCTCAGGGGCAAAGCACCCCTGGGTTCAATCCCCAGTATCAAAAATGAAAGAGTCTGGATTTGATCTGAAAGGTAAAGGTGAGTCATGAAAAGATCAGTTAAAAACCCTCCCAATGGTATCAAATGATCCCACCTCATGGCTCCCATGTCCTGTATGGTACCTCCCACTATGTACCAGGATTGGTCTATGAGACCAATAAAGTGGTGGTATATCACTTCCAAGATCAGGAAGATGTTCTGCAGTTTCTATCTTGGTCAATCTCTCTCCCTCCTCCCTCACCGCCTGCCACCTGCCTCACTCACTTTAGGGAAAGCCAGCTGTCATATCACCAGCCAGCCTCGTGGAAAGATCCAGTGGCAAGGAAATGAAACCTCTCGACATTGGCCATGTGAATGAGCTTCAGAACAGATCCTAGAGGCTGAGTCAAGAGAGTTCAGAGACTGTGACCCCACCAATGCCGACTCCCATCTCAGGAGGGGGCCACCCAGCTACATCACTCCACTCAACAGAGCCGAAGCCCAACTCCTGACCCCCAGAAACTCTGGATCTTAACTAGCACTTGTTCTAAGCTGCTGAATTTCAGGACAGTTTTTTACACGGAAATAAATAACTAAAGAAAGCAATCCGAGATAGGAGGTAGGATGACCAATTCACTGTGTTCCAGTTTAAAAAGCAAAGAGATCTTCACCAGGACAGAGTCGGTGGTGACGAGGAAGACGGAGACACTTCAAGGGCTCTCCAGGAGCAGGAGCACCAGGGCAGATACCTCATTGGATGGGGAGTGGAATGAGGCATAGGAATCTGGAAGCTGCTCAGATTTCAGAAACAGCTGTTGGAATAGTCAATGAAGCTGCTGATCAGGGGATGGGACCCCACACGGATTCCTGGTCTCCAACTCCAACCAAGCTCAAGTTGTTCTCTTGGCATTCCTCAGCTACTGCCACACAGCCACTGCTCCACCTAAGGGCCCACAGGCAGCTCGAGGGCCGCCCTCTGTGTCCAGCTCTAACAGAGGTCATCCCTCTCCTTTATGCCCCAAGCATAGTCACACTTCTATAGTACTTTCCTGTGTTCTTCAATTTCTTTCCTTCCTTCCTTCCTTCCTTCCTTCCTTCCTTCCTTCCTTCCTTCCTTTCTTTCTTTCTTTCGTACTAGGGATTTAACCCAGGGATACTTTACCACTGAGCCACATCCATAGCCCTTTTTATTTTATTTTTTTTAGACAGAGTCTCAGATAAGCTGAATAAGACCTCTCTAAGTTGCTGAGTCTGGCCTGGAATTTGTGATCCTGTCTCAGCCTTCCAAGTCACTGGAATTACATGCCTTCCAATCACTGGAATTACCTCCTCACCTGACAGTGTTTTGTGATTTATTGGGGGAAAAAAAAAATATATATATATATATATATATAAACACAAAATAGTAAGGACTGGCAAAGCACCCCTGGGTTCAATTCCCAGTACCAAAAAAAAAAAGAGTCTGGATTTGATCTGAAAGGCAAAGGCAAGTCATGAAAAGATTAGTACTAACAAAAAAAAAAAACTTTAATATGTAATCTTTGTTTTCCTATGTGCATGTGCGTATATACATGTCTATATGCACATGCATATATGATACACACACAGACAAGACATAAAATAAATACATTACAATACTAAGAGGTTATAAGTATTTGAAGTTTTCCATAATAAAATGTTAAGAACTATTTTAACAGGGGTGGTGACATTATAAATGCTTATAATTTTCTTTATAATTTCTGATCATCTAAAATATCTAGAATGACATGGTATAAAATGGCATTTTAAAAGATACTTAATATGAAAAGAAATATAGTAGGTACAGCTAAAGGGAGAGAAGTAGAAATAATTAGCTTGGTTGGTTGGTTCATGGTGGACTGGGGATTGCACACAGGGTCTCGTGCATACTAGATAAGTGCTCTATCACTGAGCTACATCCCAGTCCCAATAATTAGCTATTTGCTTCCTCCTTACCTATATTTTCCTAAATTTTCTACGGTGATCACGTATTATTTTAAAACTGGAAGATGGAAACTATTGAAAAGTGAAACTAATATATAGACATTCGAGGACATTGGTATGTTCTCTGCAGTGGACCCTAGGGCACCTTTTCTCTTGAAAGATGACTGTGGACATCTCTAGTGTATTGTTCTCTCTGTATTTGAATGCTTCTTCCTACATACTAAGCAGTTCAACACTCAGGTTTAAACTTTAAAATCTCTTAGTTAGGTTGGGGACGCTCCTGCTAAGAGTATCTTCTGGGTCACTGGAAGCTCCCATATATGGGGAATGGAACCGGTCTTCCCAGGGCCAGACAAGGTCTCCCACAAAAAGATGAAAGGACAATCCAACCTACTGATTCCTCCAAAACCTGGTTACTGGTATGGGATCCCTAGACATTCTGGGTTTCTTTCCAGCTCCAGCAGCAACACCCCAGCGAGTCAGCAGAAGATCTATAAGGAGTCGATAGGTCACCATGTCCTGACGCCAACTCCTTCCTATTTTTCAAAGGGTCTCAGGAGCTCCTACAATTGGTAACTTATATCTGCACCTTAGAACATGAAATTGCTGTTCCTCCTTCCTGCCTTCTCAGGTTCTGCTCCCCAGGATTAGCCCACGATCCGTCACCCCATCAAGGCCACTGATGCAGTCAGTGACTCTGAGCCACTCACCTGCCAGAGGACTCCATAGGAGGTCCTTCCTCACATCCTTCACTCTCTTGTTCAGGACAGATTCTAACACCATGTGGTCACCTCCTGAAACCACTTCTTCCACTCCAGTTAGGGACTCTTCAGATCCCCTAAGATGACAGGCTTTCCCTGATGATTCATATAGAAGAGAAGAAAAACAAAAACTGTCTTCCTCCCCTCACACACTCAGCACAGATCTCAAATCCTGTAGGGTTTTCCCCACATGTTAAGCAATTCTGCAGTGGACACCAACTGGGAGTTCTACAGTTCAGCTCTCTGACATGGTCAACCTACAGTTAGAGCCAGATCCCCCAAGACTGCCCCCACTTCAGATGCTATTGTGGCTTGGATCCTAAATGTCCCCCAAAGGCTATGCATTGAAGACTTGGTCACCAGCTGATGGCACTACTCGGAGGCAGAAGAACTTTTAGGATGTGTGTCCTAAGGGAAGGAAGTGAGGTCATTAGGGATATGTCCTTAAAGGGGCTATTGGGACCCTGACCCCCACCCTCTCTCTCTCTCTTTCCAGCCACAAGGATATAAGCAGCTTTGCTCCACCAAGCTCTCCCCACCAAGTTTGGCCTCTCTACAGGCCTAAAGCAACAGGGCCAAGCAACCATGGACTAAAACCTCTGAAATAAATATTTCCTCCTATACAGATGCCAATTACATGTAGTAGGTCATCACCTATACTTTGACCAATCAGCTATAAATAGGGGGTTTCATGAGCCTCTCCAAGGATTGGATTAATTTACGAAGCCAGATCCCATCACTCAGAAGGATGCTTAACTTATATTTACCCATGTGTTAAAAAGGATATTACAAAGAATATTACAGATGGACAGCCAGATGAAGTGATTCACAGGGCAAAGCACATGGGAAGGGGGCAGAGTTCCATGCCCTCTCCCTGGGGGCCACCTTCCAGGAACCTCTACATGTTCAGCATCCCAGAAGCTTCTTGTTCTGCCGCAGTCTGGCTGGGCACAAAATCACGAGCCACTCAAGCAGGAACAAACTTTATTTTTGAAACTGCCGCCAATGCCCCGTACGCTCCCGGGAAGATTGCCAACCGACCCATGCAGCGTTCTCCCGGACCCCCACAGGAAGTCCCTCCTCCGGAATTCCCTCCTACCGCACTTCCCCAACCAATGGGAATTCTCCAGGAGTCCCGTAGCAGGCCGAGGTGGACAGCAGGAATCTGATATCCATAAGAATGCAGATCTTAACATAATCATATCATCTCAATAGCTTGCTGGCGTCACCTTTCAACCAAAAATGCCATGCATCATATTACTTGGCTGTGGCTCTTAGCATTGTTCTTTGGGGATTTTTATTAGACATGATCGATTATATGATTGGCCATTGGTAATCACCTCAACCTTTAGTCCTTCTCCCCTCCTAGGAGGTCAGAGGTTAGTTCCCCTGGCACCAGCCTCTCACCCTAAGGCTACCCAGGCCACCCACGTTCCCCAGCCACCAATTACCATATTACCATCCAAAAGCACTTTGGAGATTCCAAGAGTTTTAAGAGCTCTGTGCCAGGAATCTGGGGCAGGGACCAGACATACCTTTATTTTCCTGCCATAATACCACAACTTCCAAGCATGAAGCCCAGCCAGCCTACCTCTGTAGATGTCTCAGGCTGGAAGCAAACAGATTCCCCATGACCATGACCCTTTGAGAATTTGGATGAACATGAATCCTGCATGGATTCCACGAGAAACTGTCTGTGGGGCTGCCTGTCCACCCAGGCTTCTAGGAGTTCTGTGGCTAAGGCCGAGGGTTCTCGCATCCTGGTTAACCAGGTTAGCATGCCACAGAGGGAATTTCTGCACTAGAACTTCCCTGCCAACTTTTCTGCATCTATTTCCTCAGAATCACCAACCACACAACACTCCTGGAGGACCCTCCATGGCAGATGTCCTGACCCATTCAGGGTTCTTGTCCCCTTGTCTTGTCTTGAGCCTGTCCCCTCTGCAAATGTTTTATAACAAACAGAGCTATTATCAACAACGATGTGAAAGAAAAAAAGGGAATTCTTCTAGTTCCTAAACATGTTTTCTTTGTATGGGACAAACGTGGGACAGAGCCAACCCTCCACCCCCCACCCAAGCAACACTAAGAGCAAAGACCATGGTGGGCTCTTCACACCTGCCTGAAGCAAATTATTGTTAATACCAAGTTATAAACCCTTAAAAAAAAAAGAAAGAAAGAAACCTTAATGGAAAAGCTAATAGCTCATTAACTATGCAGAGTGCCACCCCATAAGACACATTCCAGAAGAGGGAGGGCAACTGCATTCATGTGGCCTTTCAGCAACCCAAAGGCTCATGACAAGGATGGTCAATAGCAAACTGTTCGACCCTGGCAGGACAAGCCACTCGCAGTTGTGTGACTTGTCCTGCTCCCTGCATTAGTTCTGGCAAAACTCAGCTTATTTACAGGACATGACTTCCACCCTGAGAGAATGCAGCGCACCTATGGGACACAGGAGGGGAGTGGGCTGCGGCCATGCGCTGGCGATGAGGGACCGTTAGCCTCAGACAGTGGGCACAAAGGCCAGGCCTGTTATCACAAATAAGCTGTTTGCTCACAGTTTGGCCCTATTTCTGCAGACTGTGTACCTAAATGAAAGTACTTATCCACTGGGGCAGAGTTCAAAGCTCAAATGATAAGTGTAGTCCGCTGCTAAAAAGAGGCAAGCTTGGGAAAATACAGGGAAAGAGCAGTTAGATTAACCCCGGGGGCAGGGGGTGGGGAGTCTCAATCCTATAGAAATTATATGGCATTCTTTTATGCCTTCAAAAAAAGGGATTTGTTTTCCAGTACTAGAGACAGAACGCAGGGGCACTTTACCCCTGAGCTACATCCCTAGGCCTTTTATTCATTTATTTTATTTTGAGACAGGCAGGGTCTCCCTAAGTTGCTGAGGATGGCTTTGAACTTGCAATCTTCTTGTCTCAGCCTTCCGAGTGGATTGGATTATAAATGTAATCTCGGTGGCCATCAATTAATTTTAATTCCAAAAGTTCAAAGCCACTCTTTCAGGGAACTAATTAACGGCTAATATTGTCCCCAGAGTGTTCCCCCAGGTTTGTAAGGACAGAGGCGCTCACCAACTACTGCGTGTTCTCTCACTGGTCATTACAGGTGGTGCTGGACTAAGTCCCTTGGGGACAGGTCTGGGAATTCCTGGGTTTAGTATCTTAACAGCACTAGTGGCCCTTCCTCAGACCCTTCCAGAGTTTTAGATATTGCATCCCTGGGGATTTGGCCCACCGAAGTCCCCTTACATTGTGCTCTATAGAAAGGTTGATCCTAAGGTCAAGGGTGTGTTTTACTATAGGTAGGTTCTAGTATTATTCTCATAAGCAATTCTAGAAAAAAGTTCTTGGGGTTTTGGGGTTTTTTTTTTTTTGGAACCCTATATAGTGTGGAATTCCTCATATTCTACCTCATTTTTCTTTTTCTTTTCTTTTCTTTTTTTTTTTTTTTTGGTACTGGGGATTGAACTCAAGGGTACTTGACAACTGAGCCACATCCCCAGCCCGATTTTATATTTTATTTAGAGAAAGGGTCTCATGGAGTTGTTTAGCACCTTGCTTTTGCTGAGGCTGGCTTTGAACTCACGATCCTTCTGCCTCAACCTCCTAAACCTCTGGGATTACAGGCATATGCCACCGTGCCAGGTCCCACCTCATCTTATGGCACAGAATAAGATGAGGTGAGAATATGACGAACAGGTCCTCATTATCACTGGTCCATACACATGATTTTTCTTCAATTTTTTTTATTTAAATTCCCTTTGACCTTCCTACCCACCCTCCTCTCCACCCACCCACAAGCAGCGATCCTAAAGTTTCTGATGTTTGTATTGTTGGTTTGGATATTGCTGTTTTGTATCCATATATTTTTTGCTTTTGCTCAAAATGCTCCTACCAGCTATTTCTTTGGTGCATGTTACAATCCAGTCCTTGTCCATTCGCATTTTTATTGTTCATACATTTTAGCAATATCAGTGGTAGAATCTTTGTGTTCTCTCTTTTTTTTTCTTTTCTTTTTTTCCAGTACTGGGGATTGAACCCAGAACCTAGCAGTGATATACCATTATGCAACATCCCCAGCCCTTAAAAATTTTAAGCCTTTAAATTTTTTTATTTTGAAACAGGGTCTCACCGAGTTGGTAAGGCTAGCCTTGAACTTGCAATCCTCCTGCCTCAGTCTCCCAAAGTCCTGGAGTTACAGGGTTGCACAACTTCACCTGGCTGGTTTATTTGACATTTTTATCATGAGTTTTTTAAGGTTTTTTGTTTGTTTGTTTAGTCTTTGGTAGTCTTTTTGCTTATCTCCCTGCACCCCCAGCAGGTGACCACTGCTAACAGCATGGGGAGGGTCTATACCTTTGCAAGATCATTCGATCCATTGATCCATTAAATAGGTGGACACACATATCCATGAGTGTGAGAAAAAGAAAGATGTAGTTTAATGAATCAGGATTCCTAATCTGATTGTGACAATTTTCTTTTCTTATTTAAGAATATATCATGGCTGGGGATGTGGCTCCAGCGGTAGCGCGCTCGCCTGGCATGCATGCGGCCCGGGTTCGATCCTCAGCACCACATACAAACAAAGATGTTGTGTCCGCCGAGAAATAAAAATAAAATTAAAAAAAAAAGAACATATCATGATCATCTTTTCAAGGCAGTAGATCCAAATCTAATGCTTTTTTTTTTCTGAGGTAGGATCTCCCTGTGTTACCCAGGGTAACCCTGAATTTATGGGCTCATTTGATCTTTCTGCCTCAGTCTCCCAGTAATTGAGGCTACAGGTACACACCAGCACACCCAGCCTTAATGCTCATTCTTCATAGCTGTGTACTATTTAATGAAATAGCTGCTTAACAATTCATCCAATCATTCCCCCCTGATGGGCACTTAGGTTGTGCTTGGTTTTGTTCTGTTTTCCTCACAACAAAGCAGCAGTAAAAAGTTCTGTGCATGAATCCATAAACTCTGGTGCTTTCATTTCTGTAGGATAGATTCCCAGGACTGTTCTTAAATTTTTTTACTTTCATAAATGACATTAGGTTATATGCCACGTTGCATTTCTTTTTTTTTTCCATACACTGTGATTTGGCTATCTATCAATGTTGTCGTTTGCAGACCTCCTCTGTTGGTTCTGACAGCTATGCAGTATCCACAGTGAGCCCCAATTCACTTCACCCATCACAGCGCTAGCACAATGGCCAGGTGTCCTCAACATCTCAAAGTCGCTGCACTTAAAAATAAAGCACCATCAAGTAGAAAATAAATAATTCCAGCTTCTTAAAACTCTCAACAAATTTGATTTTGGAAAATTATTAAGATCAACTATGGAGCTGGGCATGGTGGCACATACCTGTAATCCCACGGACTTGGGAAGCTGAGGCAGGAAGATCATGCGTTCCAGGCCAGCCTTGGACATCTAACAAGACCCTGACTCAAAATAAAAGAAAAATGGTTGGGGATGTAGCAGTTGAATGCCTCTGCATTTAATCCCCAGTGCCACCCAAAAAAACCCCAAAAAGACCAACCTCAAGAAAAAGTGGAGATGGCAGGATTTGATTATGGGGAGCTTGCATCTGTTAGAAATCTACTGTGCCAAGCACTTTATGAAAATCTTATTGATTCTCAACACAAACCTCAGGGGTAATATTTACCCTCTGACCAGATGAGGAAACAGGGACAGACAGGTTTCATGCATTCTTCAAACTAGTGATAGAGACAGGATCAAAGTCAGTCTGCCTGGTTCCAAAGACAGCCCTTCCTGCCACTCCTTATGAACTTCAAACCACATTAATATCTTACTTTTTAGAAAAAGTATCATAAGTAGCATTGAAAACCGGTAGAGAAAGGCATATGAGTATCACAGGATTTTCAATCTACAGTTTCATTCAAGGATTTTGAGAACAGTAAAAATTGATATTCTACCCAACAAAAATTAAGAGTCTTAAATTAATGTTCCCAGAAGCTTTAAAAGACTAACAAACTCATAGAGCTTTTGTGGGAGATGGGAGGGCAAAAGAAGTGAGACTCAGAAGAATTCATGGTTCTGATTCCTCTAGATAGAGCTGGAGGTCAAGCCAGGCATGGTGACCCACACTCATGATTCCCATGAGCAGGGAGGCTGAGGCAGGAGTATTGAAAGTTCAAGGCCAGCCTTGAGACTCTCAGTAACTTCATAAGACCCTGTTTTGAATTAAAAAAATAAAATAAAATAAAAAGAAGGTCTTGGGACATAGCTCAGTGGTAGAGCACCCCGGGTTCAATCTCTGGTACTGAAGAAAAAAAAAATCCCAGTCTGCCTTCATTCTGTGTTCAGCACTCAAACTCTCTCATCAAAACAGAAGTAAAAAGAGAAGACTCCAAGAAGCCTTTGAAAAAAGCCTTAGCAGCAAGCAGGTGCCTGGACTTTTTATGAAGATTAACCACTAGGTGGGGGTGGAGAGGGGGTAAAAAGGGAGAGGACCGGGCTGCCATGTCGGGGAGCAGGGCCCAGTGAGCCTAGAAGGAGCCGGGAACCAGGCTTGCAGGGAACAGGGCACCAGACTAAGAAGCATCATCTTTTCTTTAAGAGCCATCATGAAGTTTTGTCATTTTTCAATTCAGGTTAAATGCACATAGCATTCAATCACTGTAGTGAACAACTCAGTGGCATTTAGTACCTTCACGATGCTGCGCAGATCCCATCTCTCTAGTTCTAAAATACTTCCATCATCCCAACATAAAACCCCACCCTGGTTAAGCAGCTCCTCCATTACCCTACTCCCCAACCCCTGGTCATCACCAATCTGCATTCTGTCTCCGTGGATTTGCTTCATCTGGGTATTTCACATAATGGAATCATACAATCTGTCCTTTTTGTGTCTGGCTTCTTTCACCTGCATGATGGTTTCCAAATTCACACAGCGTCAATCAGTGCTTTAGTCCTTTCTATGACTGAATACTATTCCATTGTATGACTGCACCATTTTTATACCCATTCGCCCACCTTTTCCATTACTACAAAGACTGCTGGTGTACCATTTATGTATATCATGAGTTTTCAAACTGAGTTGTGCTTGAGAAAGACCAGAATGGATTAGAAGAGTTAAAAAGGACAAATCAGTGGCCACTATTAAGCAATGAGGGTCAATGAAGAGGCAACTGTTTGAGGGAGACCTTAGAGGTAGACGGCAGCACGTGCTATGCGATAATTGTGACGGTGGTGCACAGGCAGCAGGTGGAGAAGAAGAGAGCAAGAGGACACTAGGATTTCTACCTTTGCTAGTCGGGTAAGGACAGAGTCGTGAAGGGAGGAGGGGTGAGCTGAGCCTAGATCCGTTAGATCAAGATGCCACTGGCCACCCAGTTGGATATGCAGTAGGCAGTCAGCAATGCCACTTGAGCTGGCACAGCCAAGAAGGAAAGGGGGGTGCAGAGTGGACGGCAGGGAGAATCCCTGGGGAAAACCTCAAAGGAGACCACAGGATCTGGGCCATTACCTGTGCTGCCTGTTCTTCCTGGGATGCTGTTCCCTTCCTCTGAGCTCAGAGGACACCGGAGGGGAGCAGAGAGGTTTTTTTTAAAAGATCCTTCTTACATTCCATAGGCCACAGTGTCAACATAACCGCACTGTCCTGAGAGCACAGGGAGGGAAGGGGCAGGTTTTAATATGAAATCAAAACTCACTACCAGGGCTGAGGGCACAGCTCAGTGGTAGACCGATTGCCTAGCATCGTGTAAGGCCCTGGGTTGGATTCCCAGCATTGCAAAAACTTTTTTTTTTTTTTTTTGTGGGGCTGGGGATAGAACCCAGGACCTTATGCACGGGAGGCAAGCACTCTACCAACTGAGCTATATCCCCAGCCCCACTGCAAAAAACATTTTTTAAATTTCAAAATCAATAACAAATTTCTTGTCCATAAGACAAACATAATTTTAAGTCTTTCAAAGTCCCTCATTTTCTAGCTCAGAAGACTTGAGGCAGGGGCTGGGGATGTGGCTCAAGCGGTAGTGCACTCGCCTGGCATGTATGCAGCCCAGGTTCGATCCTCAGCACCACATACAAACAAAGATGTTGTGTCCACCGAAAACTAAAAAATAAAAAAAATTAAAAGACTTGAGGCAGAGAATGGTTACTCAGTTACTAAATGGCTAATTTAAAATTAGAAATAATAGGCTTGAGCCAAACACAGTGGGGCCTGCCTATAATCCCAGCAGCTCCGGAGGCTGAGGCAGGAGGATAGAGAGTGCAAAAGCTAGCCTTGGCAATTTAGCAAGGACCTAAGCAACTCTGGGAGACCCTGTCTCTAAATAAAATACAAAAAATGGGCTGGGGATGTGGCTTAGTGGTGGAGCGCCTCTAGGTTCAATCCTCAATACCAATAAATAAATAAATATTTTTAAAAACCTAGACTTTTTCATTATATGTGCCACTTCTCAATCCCTTATTTACTTAACAAAGCAAATCATTTTATATATCTTGTATATTTAATAATACTTATTTTAATGCAATAAAGGACAAAGGAAACATACCATTTTTACCAAGAGAAAAGAAAACTAGATTTGTTCTAAGTTCAATTCCTAGACAAATAAATTTAATTAGTTCATTCAAATAGCATACATTATCTACATCCCCTAATTAAATATCTAAGCTCTGTAGGAGACAGATAAATTTCAAAAAATAATGGTTGTCCTCAACGAGCCTTGGAAAAGAAATAACATAAGTAATTACAAGACAGTACGCCATGCACACGATAGGAATTTAAGCAAAACAGGATCTGGATACAGAGAGAAATCATGTGGGCTGGGGGCTCTGGGGCTTTGTACAGCAAGAGTCATGCTGAGCCCAGCTGTTGAGAGTGGAAAGGACTCAACAGATGGGTGTGAAGCAGATGCAGGTTTCACTGTTTGGACATAAAGCATCGGGTTTAGAGAATCTCCAGCTGAACATTTTGTGAATTCACCCCGTGAAGAAGGAAAAGGCTAGGATGACAAACTGAGACCAAAGTAAAAAGGAACTAAAATGGCAAGTTAAGAAATGTGGATTTAGTGCACATGCATTAAACCTTGCTAGATGTTTATATGCCACTATCGTCAAGAAGGTGGTTTCTCGTACTTAGCAGACACTTAGAAAGCTTTCTCCTTTTTTTTTTTTTTGGTGGTAAGGGGATTGAACCCAGGTGGGCTCCTTCTCCCTCCCCACCTCTCTGTCTCTCTCTGAGTCACATCCCCAGCCCTTTTTATTTATTTTGATACAGCATCTTGCTAAATTGCCAAGTCTGGCCTTGAATTTGCCAACCTCCTGCCTCAGCCTCCCAAGTCTCTGAGATCACAGGTGTGTGCCATCTCACCCAGCAGCACTTAGAAATCCTAATCCCTGGATTACCACTTATTTAGAAAAGTAAGTTAGCTATTAAGGCTCTCTCATCCTCATTTAAGTAGTATAGTCCTCATCACGTCTGTGTAACTGGAAAAATGGCAGACTTACACGCACCCACTTTTAAGTATGCCCAAATCACTCACTGTGAGAATTGAGACCTGATTGTGGAAAAGTTCATCAACCTGAAATTGCCTGTGCGTAAAGCCGCAAAGTATAGCTGGGCACAAGAAAAGTGAGGGCTGAAATACCCCCAGGTTCTGTGCAGACTGCTGTGTGATCGGACGGGAGCTGGGTCAGAGCAAATGCTCATGTGTCCAACTCACCTGGGCCTGAGCGGTGGGACGTACTCAGGGGGAGCGCCTTTTCCTGCATCACTCAAAGGTGCCCTGTTTTCAGCAGAGCCCCTGCCTGCCCCTCTCCTGGTTTAAACTGGGACACCATCCTGTGTGCTGCAAGTTTCCGACATGTGCCTCTCTGCATTAGCAAAGGCCTTGTGTTAAACCGTTTTTGTGTCACCGAGACCAAAATACCTGACAACAACTTAGAGGAAGAAGTTGTTTGGGGCTCATGGTTTGAGAGGACTCAGTCTGCATTGCTCTGGGCCCAGGGTGAGGCTGAGCATCATAGCAGAAGGCAGAGCAGGGGGAACTGCTTACTTCCTGGCAGGCAGGAAGCAGAGAGAAGAAAGGGCATCAGGGAAGACCCACCCTTCCAGGGCGCATCCCCGTGACCCCCCTCCTCAGCCACACCCCACCTGCCTACAGTTACCATCCAGTTAGTCCATCCAAACTAGGATGGACTGATTAGATTACAGCTCTCCAATCACTTCGCTTCCCACAGTCATGCACTAACAGGAGCTTTGGGGACACCTCATATCCAAACCATTGCAGGCCTTTTTCACCCACTGAAGGTATTCAACCACATTTTTTAAAAATATTTTTTAGTTGCCAATGGATTTTTCACTTTATTTGATTATTCATATGTGGTGCTGAGAATCGAACCCAGGGCCTCACACATGCTAGGCAAGCGCTCTACCACTGAGCCACAACCCCAGTCCTCAACATTTTTTTAAAATATTCTTTTAGTTGCAGTTGGTACAATACCTTTATTTATCTATTTATTTGCTTATATGTGGTGCTGAGGATCAAACCCAGTACCTCACACGTGCAAGGCAAGTGCTCTACCACTGAGCCCCAGCCCCAGCAACCCCAACAATATTTTTGATTGATGGAACCAGAGGCTAGACCACAGTTAATGAGAGGGTCATTTTCATCATCTTGTACTTTTCGTTGAAGGTACCAAGAAACCCTCAACGAAAATAACACGGAACACCTGGAAGCCTCGCTTCATTTGTCCAGGGACGATTTCTCCCCCACCAGGACACCACACCAAGCCATGATTCTTTGCATAATGAAAACATCAACACCTTTTATATGTTCAGTTTAAACAATTTATTTGTTATTATAAACTGCTTTTAATTTTTTTATTACTTAGTGAATAATAAATTTGCATCACCAACAATGAGATAAGTATTCTCAAGAAACAGCCAAGAGGAAGACTCAGTATTCAAGCACTTACACATTTTTTTAATGAGCCAATAAAAATGTAAGATGTTTATTATGATTCATGTTTACAATCAGAAAGCTTGATAATGTACCACAGGCCACTGGCTCTCATTCTTCTAGATCCTAACAGCAAGCAGCAGAGTAGAAATCAGAGGAGGGCTTGTTCCTTAGCCGTTCTGCCGATCTCAGCGTATGAACATTGCCAGTGCAATGCCATTCTGTTTTAAGGCTAGAGGTAAAAAGAGGGGCACTGAGCCCCAGTACGGGCAGAAGAAGAAAAAAGGAGGCACAGGTTGCGATGTTGTATCAGAAGCACGTAGGAACTGACCAGCCTTCACTTTGTTTCACAAGATCAACCTTATTATCTGACTAGTAAAATGACTCTGCATTCTAAATAAATTAAATCTGTGACATATTCCACTATGGGTATAAACAATGACATGGTTTGCTAAATTATTATTGATCTCTGTGGGCAGAAGAGCCCTATCAGGAGGAGGCAGGCCCTGAGCCTTACCACTCAGAACCTCAGGCAGCAGTACTTCTGTTTTCTCCACTCTCAACTCCTAGACCTGGTTAGCTAAGTCGGACCCCACTCACGGTATTTCCAGTCAAGTGGGACAATGAAGCCTGTTCTTTTTTCTGAATCATTTCCTCTGAGTTTATCCCCCTTTGCTCCATTCCATGAACTCGATTCTGTGAAACTGCTTCACCTCCTGAGTTGGACAAGACCAGGAAACATGCCTCAGCAATACCAAAGTTCCAATTTCCAAAAGTAAGCGATAGTGTAAGGGAATCCTCCGCTGAGCTTCCAAAAATAGAAGTCACAGGTCATAAGAAAAATGCTTTCACAGGTGTCCATAGTAATCAATTTACTCCCCAACTCTGTTAAAGACGAACTTCATGGCCAAAGAAAACACTCACAAATTGTTTGAAAGGCCGCATGCATTTAAAAAGTCAACAAATACGATCATCTTCAAAATCACAACATTACAAATTTAACATCTGACTGCTACCTGAAAATTATTTGGTCAGAGGTAGAGTGTCATGAATCAAAAACATTGTCAGGTTTATTTGCAAAATGAGAGGAGACTGCATTAGATGGTGTCTTAGACTGCTCAGGTGGCTATAGGAAATGTCATAGACCAAGGGACCGAAACAGACAGATGTGTAAGATGGAAGTCATGACCCTCTTCCTAGTATGCAAATGGCAGCTTTCCTGCTGCATTCTCACATAGCAGGGAGAGACATTCTCTCTCACATAAAGGACTCTACTGTCATGAAGGCTCCACCTCATGACCTAATTACCTTCCAAAGGCCACCCCCAAATACCATAACCCTGAGATGAGGTCTTCCACATAAGAATTATGGGGACACACATTCCGTCTACAGCAGAGAGAAAAGCTTTACATTTTGCCACGGGCAAGTCTAGGATCAGAAGTTTGGGACTTCTAAGATCCTGATGGACTCAGATTACTAAAAACTACTACCTGTAGGCTTGTTCGTCTTGGACTAAAAATATCCTCCATGCCAAGTAACTGGAAAAGAAATAAATCTTCTCAATATTACCTATAATGATGCTTCCCTTATAAATACTATATCAAACTTAGTGGCTTTGCCAAGAAATAGGGAAAAATGGGACATTCCAGAACCTTTGAGCCATAAAAAACCTCAATACAACACATATTTGGTA